CTTCGTGGCCCATGCGCAGAAGTCGGCTTTCGGCCTGGGCGAGTCTATTTTGAAGAGGTGGTGTTGGAACACTCAAGGGCCCAAGAGCCACTCGTGGCTCGCGAGCCGCAGTTTGCCGACCACTGGCCTAAGTTCTCCTGGTGAACCTTTCTGAATGGAGACAATAAACCGAGTTCCGGCCTCTTTGCAGTCGCTGAAAGCCTGTAGTAACGAGGATAGAATTTCTCTCGTGTCCATGGACGTTTTGTAGGTTTTTGCATTTTCACAAGTTTTAGCCCATTCCAGGTGCTGCCTCTGACACAGTTTCTAGCTTGGTCCTATCTTTGTGCTTATCGGACGCGCCCTTCCCTCCACGTTCTGTGTGCGTCCTGGAAAAGTGCCCGGAGAGCACGGGCTTCCTCTCCTCCTCACCGGGCGGCTTACGGGCTGCCCGTGTTCTGTCTTACAAGGAGCAGCATCGTCACCCATTTCCTTCGAGTCTCGGGCCACAAGATGAGAACTACGATCATCAAAGGCTTCTGAGATACTCTTTTCTAGTGTTTTTCTCATCCATTTTTATAATTTAGAACATTGTGTGACAATTCTCATAACATAGACCGACTAGCTGGCCTCAGGTTTTGTTTTTTAAAAAATATATTTTATTGATTTTTTACAGAGAGGAAGAGAGAGGTATAGAGAGTGAGAAACTTCGATGAGAGAGAATCATCCATCAGCTGCCTCTTGCACACCCCCTACTGGGGATGTGTCTGCAGCCAAGGTACATGCCCTTGACCGGAATCAAACCCGGGACCTTTCAGTCCGCAGGCCGATGCTCTGTCCACTGAGCCAAACCGGTTTCGGCTGGTCTTAGTTTCTGACCTACTAACCAGATGTATGTGGTGTGCACACAGATCGTGGCTCTAGTCCAGGGTTTCCTGGCCGTGGCAAGTGAGGGCTGGCAGACCCTGCTGTGGGGGTTGTCCTGGGCGCCACGGGTATTGAACAACCTCCCTGGTTCCTTCCCCCGCCAGGCAGCAGCACCCCTGCCTCCAGTTGTGACCAAAATCATTCGACACTGCCCAACGCTCCTTGGGGACAAAACTGCTCATAATGGAGCTGACAGCATGGCTGAGAAAGAAAATTCTTGTTTAAATCCTGCATAACTGAGGACAAAATACTTCAGCATGGGAAACTGAATAGGCATCTGACTTCTTTTTGCAATTTTTTAAAAAATTGATTTGAAAGAGGAAAGGAGAAGGAGAGAGAGACAGAAAGATCGATGAGGGAAAATCATTTATCGGCTGCCTCTTGCACGGCCCCTACCGGGGATTGAGCCCAGAACCCATGGCATGCACCTTGATTGGAATTGAACCTGGGACCCTTCAGTCTGCAAATCAATGCTCTATCCACTGAGCCATACCAGCCAGGGCTTGCCTCCTTTGTTATAAGCCGTTTGTGATGTTCCAGGCAATGAAAACTTGGAGAAAAGGGATATTTCAATAACAAGTCCTATTTCCAAACATTTACGCTCATTTTGACTAGGTGTTTGTTAAATTAAAAGGTGAAGTTAAAGAGAATGATAAATTATTTCTGCATGAGATAAGAATGCTATGAAGTCAGCAGTCGCCAAGCTTTCGGACTCACAGACTACTGGTTGGTGACCGCTGCTCTAAGTGAATCTGGTAAGTGACTCCTTGGAAGAAGAAAACTAAACTGAAAGGAAAATCCAAACCAGGTTTGAAAGAAAACATTTATTGAATCAATACTTTCTTTTTAATATCTACAAGCCGACACTGAACTCACTTTATTCAAGAATGAACACAATGTACAAGAAAAAGAGTGCTTATATTATAAAAATATGTCAATTTTATCTTTTGGGTGCTGAGCAGAAGTCATTTTAAACAAAATCAAGGCAAACTTGTTCTCTATAATGAAACTGCTATAATTTAATAACAATGGAAGCTGGAATACGCTCAGTATCTCTAAAGGCCAGGGGTGCTGCCGCACTGGAATGCTGAATCTGACTCCAGAGCGAACACTCCACTCTGTGCTCATTGGCACGGGTTCGTGCCTAGATCACGAGGAAGCACCCGATTTGCAGAATGCAGGTCACTGATAACAAAATCCATGTCGTTAGGTAACCTTCATTCATTTTCCCTTGCTTAACAGTTAGTACTTTGTTGAAATACATGCTAATAACAGTCTATCCTATTTAATTAGCTTCAATTTCAAAATGAGATACGTTGCTATGGGGACCAAATGACCTCCAAAACTTACAACCCATGAATGTGGGGACGCTGGCTGCTTCCTCCACACTCTCAAATACCTCCAAGCCTTCCTAAAAGACGTGCTCAAGGTTCCTAGCTTAGAATTTTTGGTAATTTTCTCCTTGATTCACTGGCACCTTCCTTAGCTGGTGCCCTTGCACACAGTGTGGCCAGCACAGTGCAGACACCCCAGGCACATGGAGTATTTTGGTCCTTGGAGAAGCAGAAAAAAATAGCAATTGGAAAAGCAAAGCAAATCATGAGTCAGGGCAGAGGGACCCTGGCTCCCTGTGCTGCTGTCCCGGGCGTTCTATGACAAGTATAAAAATTGTACTAAAAACTTCTGAAGCTCAGGTAGAAGTAGACTGAATGGCACCAGTGGGGCAACGTCAGGAAAGTCCAGTCCGTCTTAAAAAGCCGTGCCGCTGGCAGGACACAGGCCCTGGCGTTTTGCAGAATGCGGTACCCACTGTGAATCAGTGAGACCGGATGAACTATAGTTAAGAAGTTATTAAACTGCAAAATACGTATTTTTGTTACTAAGCATGAATGTTTTTCCTTGACAGATCCTCCCTGCTGGAGACTGCACTGAGGGCGGAAAGCCACAGGAGCACAGGACTGAGTATCTGGCGCCCCCTGTGGTGGGAGAGTAGGGGAGGGGGCAGGGGGGGGTGCTTTCACGTTTTGCCTCACAAACCTAATATTTATTCTGTTACATTTCACAAGGAGCTGGACTAAGGGGAAGGAAATTAAAAAAAGACAGAAGAGAAGATGATCACTTTCAATATTACCTAATTCCTTAGGGCCACGTTTTCAATGAACCCCCATTCGCCGTGTGAAATGTTCATCTGACCACATGAAGTTAGAGCTGAACCAGACACAGGCTTTACATGTTAACAGACACAGCCACCAACTGGCTAAATGCTATGCCCTGGCGGGGAACAAGAAGCATTTGCAGGTTTGTGGAATAAGAAGCATATTCTGCAACCAAAGCGAAGGCTTTCTCACCAATTCCGTCAAGTCGCCAGGCGGCTGTTTTCAGCTTCCAGGAGGCCAGCGTCCAGCGCGCGGCCGGGCGACGAGGACCGCAGAGCGAGCGGCTGTGCTCGGCCCCGTGGAGCCGCCGCAGCACGGGCCGCGCAGCCATTCTGCGCCCCCCGGGGCCTCGCTCCCAATAAATAGCGAACATTCACAACAGCGTGAAGGCCTTACGAACGCAACCGTGCCTTGCACTAGCATTCTCACTGAGCAGGCCAGAGGCCGTGTTTCCAATGAGCGACAGTCACCGCGGTGTGCCCGGCACCACGCCGACTGGCAGCAGCAGCAGCGCCAGCCCGGCTCCACACGCAGCGGCTTCATCGGGCTGCACACATCCGTTCTGCGCAAGTTTCAAGTGACAAACGGTGATCATTGTGCTTGTGGGTCTCATACCTTCCCACATATACATAAATGGTGACAAGTTAACAAATAGCAGGTCCTTACTTACTAATAAAGTCATAAGGCAGGCGAAAAAAATGTTAAAATGGGAAAAAATGCAAAAACAGTGCTAGCATTCACAGAAAAGATCATGCTACGGTCAGATCCATGTTGATAAAAAGTAAAATTTAAGCCACAATCTAAGAAACTCTGTCCAGGAGTCAAAGGCATGCGGCCAGTGGAAGGAAGTGCAGGATTCATCCGGCAATAGCTTCTTCGGCGGACAGCACGTCTCACTGGAGGGCCCGACAGGATGGACAAGACGCCACCGCGCTTCATCTTGTAATTGAAAAGAAAAGCGATCACACACAAAAATTAAAGAACAGAAGGAGAAACACGGAAATTCACAAAACCAATACTGGACCTACAAAACCAAAAGAGACATCCAGGTCATCTTTACACTTCGGGGATGCATCCTTTTAAGAAGTTGATAAATTTTAATAATAAAATTACTTCACATGGGATTTTGTGCAATATCAATGCTCAAAATAAGTCACTCTTGTTTAAAGGACACCTGAGTTTCGTCTTGCCACCAGAATCTTCCAGCCTCCCCAACCAGATGTCTTAATGTCCTTCAAGTTCTTCACAAGGAAAAGAAGAACCTAAAATTAACATCCAAACTGCAGCAGTGGCCAGGTAAGTTTCTATTGAACAAGTGCAAAATAAGTCTTACATAATGTTAAAGGCACGCTTTAAAATTAAATACCCATTGCATTATGAAGTTATTTATTACATTTTTTTACAAGCTAGTGTGATCCTTTGTAAAACACTGTAATGTCAAGATTCATCCACAGTGTGTTAATATTTAGGCAAGTAAAACATTTTTGCCTTTTGTTCACAATTTTTAAAAAAAAGAGGGAAAACAAATACAGCTAACCCTTGAAGAACGTAGGGATTGGGGCAGCTCCCCACTCATCCCCCAGCACCGTTGAAAATCTGTGTATAACTGTGACTTCTCCCAAAACGTAATACTAGTAGCCTACTGTTATAGCCTACAATTAAATTATATTGACCGGAATCCTTACCAATAAGGTGACTGACACATAGTTTGATATGTACTATTATACAGTGTATTCTTACAATACAGTTAGCTAGAGAAAATATACATTTCCAGTATTTATTGGGGGAAAAACCACCACCCATGTACAAGTGGAACTGCGCAGTTCAAACCGTGTTGTTCAAGGGTCAACTGTCTTTTAACCCCGACTCAATGAAGGCTGCCTATGCGCCAGCCGGGTCGGCCACGTCTGAGCCCGGGGTACTCACGGGGAGGGCGGGCTATCCTGCCTTCGTGTCCACGAGCTGCATCTGCACCCCGGCGGACATGCCGCCCCCGTAGCCTCCCTTGGACTGCATTTGGTTCTGAATGGAGCTAACCTACAAGACAAAACAGGACACGAGTCAGAACTAAGGAAGTGCAACTAAGTGATTCTTGTCTCAACGTTTTGGTTCCTTTTTTTTAGAAGGGTACTTTTTTATAGTAAAAAAGCTATAATAGATTTTTAAAGTCATAAAATCTGTGCATATAAAAGCCTAAGCCACCCTTATGAATGGACAACCAGAGGTAGCTATGATGTGCAATGACCACCAGGAGGCAGATGCTCAATGCAGGAGCTGCCCCCTATTGGCCAGTACACTCTCAAAGCCAGCCTCTCTCAGTCCCTCCCCCACGCTGGCGGCCTGGATTGCCAGCCAGGCCAAGGGACCCCAGGGGCCTCTCGTTTTATTTATTTATTTTTTATCGAGAGGAAGGGAGAGGGATAGAGAGCTAGAAACATTGACGAGAGAGAAACAGTGATCAGCTTCCTCCTGCACACCCCCTTCTGGCGATGTGCCCGCAACCAAGGTACATGCCCTTGATGGAATCGAACCCGGGACCCTTCAGTCCACTGGCCAACGCTCTATCCACTGAGCCAAACAGTCAGGGCTGGTTTTAGAATAAAATAAAAGAATTTTTAAAGACAACATTTTTCTGACTGAGGGCAGATAGTGAGGCTTGTAACTGAAACCTTTTTTTGCTACAACTCCCTCTCCCTCTACTTTCTCTACTTTGCTAATACAAAAAAAATTTTTGTAATTCATGAGGCACTTGGTAACATTCCAAAAGAAGTCAAAAGGATACAAATTAGCCCTGGCCAGTGTGGCTCAGTGGTTGAGGGTTGACCTGTGACTCAAACTAGGAAGTCACGGTTCCATTCCCGGTGGGGCACATGCCCAGGTTGTAAGCTCAGTCCCCAGTGGGGGGTTGTGCAGAAGGCAGCCTACCAATGATTCTCCCTCATCACTGATATTTCTCTATTGCCCTCTCTTTCTTTCTGAAATCAATATATATATCTTAAAAGTATGCAAATCAGCTTTCATTTCCTCCACCTTAAATGCCTTAATTTACATTCATCTCACACATATGATTGTCTCAATTACTTATTCTAGAATCTGAAAAAGAAAACAGAAATTGGACCAACCCAAGATAAATTGTAAAAGTCCATGTGGTAAATTTTATATACCTGATACGGTCTTAATATAGTCTGATAAACTAAAAAGTCTGAGAACCCAAAGATTTGGACACAAGTCCAGATTTATTTATTCCTATTGGAACTCTGGTGAACTGTCAGGCTTCTTACCGGTTAACATGATGATCTCTCCTAACTACTAGTACTTTACTGGCTACTTTCTGATAGACCGGGAATGTAAATATAGGATATTTTCTTTCTTTGCTGAAAAAAAGGCAGAGTTATTTGCACAGTGTGAAGTACTCTTAGTGTGTCATTATCAATCCAATTTTATATCAACTAGAAGCAGTTTGGAAGCAAAGAATAAGGGAGTCCAGCCAGACTGCTAGCAAACGGAGCAACAAGAAGGTGGTGACTGACAGTGAAGCGCCAGCACACCTGCTACATTAGAAGCTGGTGCACGGAATTCGTGCACTGCGGGGGGGGGGGGGGGGAGGGGGTCCTCACCCGGCCTGTGCCCTCTCGCAGTCTACTGCAGCACTTGCCAGCAGTGAGCCCAGCTCAGGGCTTCCAGCTGAGCGGTGTTTCCCCAGTGGGAATGCACTGACCAGCAGGGGCAGCTCCTGCATTGAGTGCCCCCTGGTGGTCAGTACGTGCCATAGCAACCGGTCATTCAGCTGCTTGGTTGATTTGCATATTAGCCTTTTATTAACACAATAGAGCTACATTATAGAGTCACAGAACCCACTTCCCGCAGGAAGTTAGTATGAAAGGCAGTCTTGGGATGAACAGTGTGTTTAGGGAAAAAACAACTACAAGTCCCTAACCATCCAATAATCCAGTGTGGCTCCTCCACACACACCAGGCCTAGGCCCGAATTCCAGCTGCTCAGGCTTTGGGAAGGACAAACCTGAGAGGAAACACTTCCTTGGATAAACAGCATGTCTGTAGTTTTGCCTTCTTTACACTATTATTGCCCAGGAGAATGGAATTTTCTCATGGATTCTGGCTTCTACAGGTTAGAACTGTCGCTGATAGTTCAGAAACGGATTTCACAACCCTCAGCCTGCAGTGAGAACGGAGCTGGGGGAGGGAGTGCTGGGGTGGCCTATGGCTTTAAAGATGCAGCAAGCTGGGGTAAGCAATGGCTGCCAGAGGCTTATCTGGATCTGAAGAGCTAAAACACTTCAGGAAAAACCCACTCAAGTAAGCAGAGAAGCTGCCCGGAGACTGCAGGGCAGAGCGACAGCCTCCCCGAGGGCCGCTGACCCTGCGCCTCAGCTGAAGAGGCGGACGGGGGCTCCGCATGCACCGGCCCAGCTCTGCCCCGACAGGGCAAGCGACAGGGCGATGGGGACAAACTCCGCGGAGACCGAATGCGGACGGGAGTCCTAAGAGAAATGCTGAGCTGTGCACAAACAAGATTTAAAAGTAAGTACCACAGACCAAACAGTAATGTGTCTGTGTACAGTTTAAAAACCTGAAGTGGTGAAGACATTTATAGATAAGAAATTAAAATTGATCACATATAATAAGTTTCAAACCATGCGTTCTAGTAACAAGTCAGAGGTTCCCCTTTAGTGTCTTCACACGCGTTGGCCTGAGAAACAAAGCCGCTGACGAAAGCGGGCGGCAGCCGCGGGACCGAGCCCTTTCCTCCCACCTGCCAGCCAAGCTGCTTCCTCAGAGGACACACGGCAGCCCTGCTTCCTAGCCACTCACCCGCCAGGCTTGTTTGCTGTACCCAGGACACTCACCCACCTATTTTAAAACCCTGCTCTCTTGTTAAGCCTTTTGTTAACACTGTCCGGTGAATGAGTGTACACACATAATTCCGTGTTTATAAAAGCCAACTGACTTCCCGGTTAAACGCTTCAAAGATCACTCAGCCATCTGTTCACTGCAGGCCCCGGGGAGAGACCTTCCAGAGCAGCTTGCTCCAGGCAAAGGGAGGCAGAGCCCTGACTTACACTCTCCTCCACTCGGTGCCGCATCTGTTACCCTGCACTGATTTTCTCACAGAGAAAATTAAGGAATAAGAGAGTTCAGCTGATTAAATTGAAATTCTATTCTGAAATTCACTGAAATCTCTAGAAAAGACAGCCAAAAGATCTTTTATTTTTACTTCCGATTCTTCCTAGCTTGTTGCCAAAACCTTTAAAATACATATTCAGTTATGAAGAGTTTAGTACTGGAAACAGAATGATGTACTTGGCAAATTAGGTGAGATTACGTTTTCAATGGTCACTTATTCTCTTCTATGCTGACAGAATGTGTTCATATTCGATGTCTATCTACAAAGGCACCTAGTGTAACATTAAGAACACAGCCCTGTGTCTCAAGGCCTCATGTGCACGTTCCACCAGCGTACTTACTGAATTCATTCCGCTGAACAGGTCTCCTGATCCTACGTGAGCTGTGTGTACGAAGTTTGTTGGTTCTCCAATCATACTTCGGTCAATCCGACGACGCCTTTTCTAAAATATGAGAAGAAAATGATCTTATTACCAAAAACTTATTCTGATGGCTATACACACTATGGATGAATGCCTCTGTTTAATACAATAAGTTTGCCCAGGAGCCCTGGCTAGTGCGGCTCAGTTGGTTGGAACATCATCCCACACTGGAAAGGTGATGGATTTAATTCCTGGAAGAGGTGCATAAGGGAAACAACTGATCGATGTTTCTCACATCAAAGTTTCTCTCCTCCTTCCCTGTCCCTTTCCCTCCCTCCCTTCCTCCTCTCTCTCTTTCTCAAATCAATTTTAAAAATGTCCTTGGGTGAGGGTTAAAAAAAAAAAAAATTGCCCGGGACACAAAAATACCTGAATCTTGGATTACCACAACTACTTAAAATGATTGGTAAAGCAAAATAATAGGTCATTTAGAACTTTAAAAAGATGATTTGGTCTAGCTTTGGCTATTGCCACATTAATATAATAAACATTTAAGTTTTATTCTATATTTTTAAAAGTGAGACACATATAAAATTATCACTAACCATTGTTAGCAAATACACTGCAGCTTGAACACAACATTCTGTATTGTATTCATTCTGAGTACAACTTTTCAGCGATGTTCAAACAGTCCCAAGTTTTCCATGACTAGAGACACTGACCTAACTGGGAGGGGCCATGGCATTACTGGCTTAGTGTCCCAATACCAGCTCAGCTCATCCCTCTCCAGTCTCCTCCTGACACTGCAGTTTGCCTCAAAACTAAGACAAGTTTTGCATGAACTTGTTGGACAGGGTTGCCTTTGAGCCTATTATGTCTGCATCCACTGAAATGCTGCTAGGATCTGACAGCTCCTAAATACGTATCACAACAGACCCAGGTGACAGCTTCTCGGGATTGCTCCCGAGTTTCACAAAACCACAGAAGCAGGAAGTCCACGCATTAATTTCAGAAGCCAGTGCGCACTGTTCACTGTCCTCCGCTTTTGTTGCTGCAGAGCAGATTCCCAAGGTGGTGTCTGCTGCCTGCACTTTTCCCAAAGCCTACTGGTGTGCGCGGGCCGCCTGGCTCAGCCCGAGGCCCTGCGCAGAGTGAGCCCTGCTCGGGCCGCCGGCTCTGCCCGTCCCTTGCCTGTGAACACAGAGCAGCGTTTCCTCCGAAGCTCAGCCCCCATCTCCATGCGAGGGGTTTTCCAAACGTCGTCACTGCGGGAAGACGCTGGGAGAGAAGCCACCTGGGCGCTCACACCGCCCACCTCACCCTGAAGTGTTTCTTGAAAGGATTAATGGGGGAGGTGATTGTGACCTGACACGCGTGTAAAAGAGCAGTATTAAAATAACACACTCTACTGGGTCGCAGGCTAACTCTCTCCAAATTCAAGAAGATGGAAATCATATCAAGCATCTTCTCAGACCACAATGACATAATATCAGAAATAAACTACAATAAAAACAATAAATTCAAACACTTGGGAGCTGAACAGCATGCTATTAAACAATGATTGGGGTACCAAAAAGATCAAAGAAGAAATTAAAATAACATTCTCAATACTGAGGATGTTCAAAAGCAGGTGACTGAACACTGATTCAGGAGACTACTCTCACACTGAAAGGCAAAGGCCAGGAGACTTCCACTTGTACCGTAATGTTACGCTGGGTAATTAACTATGAACCTGAAACAGTAATTTTAAACGTGACCTTTGCTGAGCTGAGAGTGAGACCTTTCCTTCAGTGTTGGGAGGTTGTTCGTGCTTTCTAGTCACGCCGGTTTTAAGGTATAAAAATGGGAGCTCCCAGTCCCTCCCTCCCCAAGGCCAGAGGGGCACAGTTCTTAAAGCAGGGCAACGATCAGATTGGTTTTAAAAGGCCACCCAGCCGGTGTGGCTCAGTTGGCTGAGCATCTTCCCAAATGCCAGGAGGTGCCAGGTTTGATTCCCGGTCAGGGCACATGCCACGTTCGGGCTCGATCCTTAACAGGAGGCAGCCAACAGATGCTCTCTCGTCAATGTTTCTATCTCTCCCTCTTCCTTCCTCTCGGAAATTAATAAAAACGTATTTCTTCTTTTAGAAGGCTGCTCCATCAGTTACAGGTGGGCAGCTGGTTGGAGGGGCCAAAAGAAATTATAATGTTGGTGAAAAAGATTAGATTCAACTAATAACAGAGACGGAAAGAGGTGAATAGAGCCAAGAGGTGTTCAGCAGATAAAATCGACAGCCCTTGGCTGCTGCGGGACTTGGGAAGGAAGGAAGGGTAGGGCAGGGAGCCACAGCCTCAGATCTGAGGAGCACGTGCAGCTCCCGGTGAGGCCATCCTGGAAGATGGGAGGCTCAGTCTTGGACACTCCTGAGTTTCAGGGATCAGTGAGGCACACAGTGAATGACCCAGACGGCCAGTGGATACACGGACACGCAATTCAGCAAAAGGCGACCCTGGAGGTGAGGCACCGAGTCACAGCGCGCTGAAGCGGCCAGTGAATGGCTGCCGAGGACACGCACCGAGGCGCCAGGCAAAGCTGGGCAGGGGGAGGTAAACCAGCAGAGAGGCCAAAGCAACATCCTGCCCTGAGGAGGAAAACCAGGTGCGTCTCGGGAAGTGTCATGAGGGAGAAGGCAACCTCAGTGCGTGTAAGAGGAGCAGACAGCAGGGGGGGGAGGGGAGTGTCCAGAAGGAGGGCGATGCAGAGATCAGACTCCGGAGAGAAGTCTGAGGTCAGGTCTGGAGGGGAGAAGAAAGGCGGTGGGAGTGAAGGGAGAAGAGGAAATGAGGTCAGACTGAAAGTTTTCCCCGAAGATGAGAAAGATTTGATGATGCTTAATTTTTGATGAGGTAGATCCAATAAGAGAGGAGAGACTGACGGTAAAGAAAAGGGAAGGGTGAGCAGCATTATAAAGGGACAGAGAAGGCTGGAAGGATGGGACCCAGGCTGGCCAAGGTGTACCCTTGCCTAGAACATTCCCAATGAATCCGAAGTCTAGGTATTTTACATAAAATATTTTAACATACAAACACTATTTTCGAGGCACATGTAGACGTTTGGAGAACGGCACACTTTTCTCGGTGTGGTGTGTTACGAAGACGAGAGAGACAAGATTTAAGTCATGGGCACCAGGGGAATTCCAGAGTCTGCCTCTGCAGAAAAACAGGAAGTGGCGCGCTCAGCTGTCATCTGTGCTAACTGCTGTCAGGAGCAGCGCCACCGATGTTCCTGGAAACATACTTTATTCCTTACAGGGAACTTTATTAAGAACGTCAACTAATTCTTGCCATCCTTAAAATGTTAACTCTTACTCTGCATAAGGTCAAGAACTAGAGGTACACAAAAATGAACAGCTGTGTTAGGGTGGAGGGGGTTAGGGAAAATGTCCCTTCCTGTGACATTTCTACATAATTACTTGTCACCACAGTGAAATCATTATTAAAGATAATGACCCAATAACTTGGGGCAGATGCAGGAGAGGGATTAAAAAGGTAAGTGCCCTTGCCAAAATCAGTTTAGCTAAGTGGATAGAGCATCGACCTGCAGACTGAAAGGTCCCAGGTTCGATTCCGATCAAGGGCATGTGCCTTGGTTGCGGGCACATCCCCATAGGAGGTGTGCAGGAGACAGCTGATGTATGTTTCTCTCTCATCGATGTTTCTAACTTTCTAACCCTCTCTTTCCTCTGTAAAAAAATCAATGAAATATAATTTAAAAATAAATAAAAAGGTAAGTGCCCCTGTGTGGACATGTTTGCATCCTCTTGCGAACAGATCAACCATAAAATCACACTATGGGACAATGGGGAAATTAAAAAACTGATTGGATATTAGATGATAATAAGGAACTATTTTTTTAAATATGTTTTTATTGATTTCAAAGAGGAAAGAAAGGAAGATAGAAACATCAATGATGAGAGAGAATCACTGCAGCCACCTCCTGCATGTCTCCCCACTGGGGATCAAGCCCACAGCCCAGGCATGTGCCCTTGACTGAACCCGGAACCCTTCAGTCTGCAGGCCAACGCTCTATCCACTTAGCAAAACCAGCAAGGCAATAAGGAACTACTTTAAATTTATTTTGGGGTATGGTAATAATACCATATATATCTTCAGCAATAAAAATAAATATCTACTACAGCATGAATGAATCTCAAAATGATTATGCTGAGTGAAACGGCACAAAGGTACATTTAAAGGAAATGTTAACTAGTGTATGTTGACGGAAGACACATCAGTGGCTGCATGCGGACGGGGAAGAGACGGATTACAGAGATGCCTGGGAACTTTTGGAGACGGATGGATGTGTCCACTTTTCCGATGTGGTGGAGACTCTAAGGACACATTTGCCAACTTACCAAACTGTACGCTTTAAATTTTAAGTATGCGCCACTTACTGTCAGTCATGCCTCATTACAGCTGTCTACATCTTAGAGATACACACTGCAATGTTTTAATGTGTTTAAACTTCCTGATTTTTTTGAGGGGGGGGGAGGGCAGTAATAAGTGAAACAAGATGGCCCCATCGATTACTGTTGAAGCTCGTGCTACAAACATCTGGGTGGGAGAGGGGGCGCTTACATCCCTCTGTGTTTGGGTGTATTTGCTAATTTTCCTAAAAGAAGTTTCTTACACACCTGTTAACTCATTTAGTTTACTTCTACTCGTACAATTTCATATCCTACTTTCATCAGAAATTAATCATTTTCTCTTCATTCTTTCTAATGCCTTACAATTCTAAAATAACTCCCTACCCATTTCCTGCTCTCTTCCCAAAACGATTAAAAGGTATACTTTTAAGTTTTAAAAAATATACTGCAGAGCAACCAATAATCATACAGCTAAGCTACAATATCAATTTGGCTTACGTATTCACTCATGCACTCACATTACAAGTTCCTTCTTTGAAAATGAAACACACCCCTGTGTCCCCCCCACACCAAAAAAAGGCTTAAATAATGTTAAATAATACAGTCCAGTGGCAAGGGGTTCAGTGCCTTCAGAGGCCCCACTCCATTTCTCCCTCAGCTCTGCCCTCGCCCTCC